TGTGTGTGTGTGTGTGTGTGTGTGTGTGTATACACTTAAACATTTTAAACCCATGGTAGATACTTTCAGGAATCCCAAAGGCACCTAGGCTGGCTACAGGCTTCTAACAGCTAGGTCAGGAACAAGTGCAGGGAAACCCTCAGGGTTCTTTTTGTTTCTGCTGTCAGTGCATCAACAGAAGTCTCCTTTGTTTCCACCTTACACATCCATCTGGGAAAATCTCAGGTGTATTAGCTGACCAGTTTGGAGCACTCCAACCCTGGCGCAGTATGCCAGCAGACATGGAGACTGTTTCTGGAGTGTGGGCTTGAGCTGGTATCCTCCCTGAGCTCTGAAGGCCCAATGACTCTGGATGACACACAATAGCACCTACGACACTCCCACAAGAAACTTCACATTTCAAAGTGGCTGGTGCACAGCGGAAGTTACACAAGGTTTCTCTGTGTGCCTGTGTATTTATATCAATGTGTCGTGTGACTGAGTCTTGGCCCATAAACATGATCTCTTGGCTTTTTACTGGTGTGTTTCTTAGCTTTCAATATAATGTTTACTGTGCATATAAATTAGCTGATGAGATAACACAGATTCTACATATAAGTCAGACCTTAGCTTGACATAATTCAGCTTTTCCTAGAAGAGCAAATATTGCACTCTGACACCCACTGACTCTGCTACCAGCTGAGTGACACCTTCTGATTCAACTCTGACACTATCTACCTATTGTTCACATTGACCCTACTATTGAGAACGGGGCAACTTCAGGTCTAAAATAAAATGATGATGATGATGATGATGATGATGATAGCAGCTTGTTCTACAAAAAAGTTTACGTCTTAAATTGCATGACATTCTGAATACCAGATGAAAACTTGAGTGCTCCAGGCCCACCATGCCCAAACTGTGAACCAAACTTTGTCCGGCATACCCACACTGAGGATGGACCGCCTACTTGTTACTCAGCTACTTAACAGCTGTTTCTGTTACCTAGCAGACCAGCTGTCATGGTACTGCAAAGCTTGCATTCGAGTAACTTGTTTTACTTAACAGTAGCCACAAAGCACAAGAGCAGTCGTGTGAGCAATTCAGGCACACCAAGGAGAAGTTGCAAAGGCTACTAACCCATCTCACCATTATCATAAGAGGGCGAGTGGCACACAGGACAGTGTTTTGAAAGAGATCACATAGACAGAACTTACTCGAAGACTTTGCTATGCTTGCTCTACTGTATATATTATTAACTGTTACTCTATTGATATGCCCAATTTGTGAATTAAACCTTACTACTGGTACATGTGCACAGAAAAAACAGCACTTACAGTAGTTAGTACTCTCTGTGGTTTGGGCATTCAATGAGCATCTTGAAACACAATTCCATGAATAAGGGGGCAACTGTCTTTGCAGGGTTACTATTAAGGATAAAAATGAATACCATATGAACATGTACATGATCGCCCAAGTCCTCAGGTATAGAAGTCTCACCTCCATAGAGTTGGGGTGGTTGTGACACTAGTTTTAAGTGTCAGCTTGACAATCTATAATCACATGTATAGAAGGTCTTAATAAAGAACTATCTAGATCTGGTGGACTTGTGGGAATGTCTGGGCTGTTTTGATTGATTATTGGTGTAGGAAGACCCACCCTGAGTGTAGGCAGCACCATTTCATGGCTGGGCCCTGAATTGTGTAAGAGTGAAGAAAGCCAGCTGAGTACAAGCAGCCAGCGAAGATGCATTCATTTCTCTGTTCTGGACTATGGATGCGCTCTGATTAGCTGTTCCTGCCTTGACTTCCCCTCACTGATGCAAGTAAGCCAAATAAATCCTTTCTCCCAAGAGTTGCTTTCAGTCAGGCCATTTATCAGAGCAACAGAAATGAAACTAGAACAGTGATCATTTATCCTCTTCCTGGTTCACTGACCTGGCAACAAGCTCAACTTCACCAGTCAAGAGATTTTATGAGCCAATCTGTAGTCCTTCTGCTCCCACCTTTATATACTAGATCAGTAGATAGGGCTGGCAGCTCCAACCCTAGAATCTCTGTCTTTCTAGTGACCAGACTCCAAGGCAGCCCACTAGCCTAAAGTGGACATGAGTGAAGAGAAACCAAAGACATTCCATTGCTCAGGAAATCCCCCAAGGACTTCAGGGGCCCAGTGCCAGGATCAGGACCAAAAGTCATCCTGTTCTGAGACTGCTGTACTCTAAAAATGATATCCAAATCCCTAGCCCTGCATCTTCACATCTTTGAGGACCAATCTCAAAACCACTGGAATCTGATAACAGATCCAGCACTACTGTGATATTACATGTTGGCCTCCAAGGTAAGAAGTGACTCTGAAAAGAGGATCTCTGCAAACACACATCAACTCTAGGGGGCTGAAGCTCCCAGAGTCACTGGCAGAGCTCGGCCCAAGGATGGTGCAGGCTCTCCCTCTTTGGGTTCCTTCGTGCGCCTTCATTCCCTGTTTACGGTAAGCCAATTCTGCATCCCATGCACATGGCACAAAGTACAATGCTTTGATCCTTGTTGTTTTTTGTTTGTTTTCCCATGAGAACAGCCAAGAGGTCTGATCTTTCACCATCAGTCAGTAGACTGCTGGGTTGCAGTTGGCATCTCAATGCTTTGCCAGCTTGCTGGTCCTGTGCCCAGTATCTCACCTTCCTGCCTGCAGTAGTTCTGTACAGTCTTTACACTGGGCAAAGGAGGGCCAGCATTCCTCTATAGAAGCAGCTGAGTAAAGGTGGCCACTGCACAGTCACATTTCACAGGAATCTGTTTCTACCTACCCATCCCTCCCACATTCGACAACCATAGTCTGGCTAAGCCTGTGGCCTTAAAGTATTTGATGTCAAGCTCTCGAACTACCTGGGCGTCTCCCTAGATGTTAATGTTTTCATAACAATATTAAAATGTTATTAAAACATAAAAAGTTTTAAAATTGTTTAAGATTTTAAGTTTCTATTTTAGTTTGCTGATGCATATGGGCAATGGGCATCCTTGGATCTTGAACTGTCCACAGCTTCTCTCAAGTTCTCCAAATTGAAAGTGACAGTCCTGCTGCTCCCTTCCCAAACTGTGGGCTGCTTTTTCTTACAGTACTGGGCTGGAGCTAACAGCACAGGCCCTGTCCTGTTTCTAGTCTTCCTGGCAATGTTGTTTCAGCAAGAAGCATGGCACCTGTTGTAAGTTTCTTTGATTTTTTTTTTGTTTGTTTTGGAGTTCTTTTTTTAAAAATTATTTTTAATTACTCATATTTACATATCCATCCCCCCATTCTCTCACCCTCCCATCCTCCCATGTTCCCCACCAGACCCCCCCAATCCCCTCCCCACTCCTCCCTAGAGATAGTGAGTCCTTCCACCAGGGACCTTCAAAGTCTGTCATATTGCTTGGGGGAGGGTCTAGGCCCTCCTTGCTGTATCTGGGCTGCAATAGTATCCCTCCATAGGGAATGGGCTCCCAAAGTCCATTTGTGCTCTAGGGATAGTCTGGCTCCGCTGTTAGAGGACCCATAGACTGTTTTTGGCTCCTAGCTGGTATCCAT